TTTAATGTTTTCCTTTATAAGAGTCACCATGGTTGTGGTGTCTCTTCCCAGCAATAGAAACTCTAAGACAAAGGGTTTGTTCAGTAGTTGTGAAGTCAACTGCAGTTGATGGGTCAGATCTTATGGAGGGCAGTCTCTCCTGGTGACAAGATTGCCAGAGACAAATGCTGGCTTGCTTTACCTCCTCCCACTAGACGTCCCTCTCTTGCTTTCCTTTCCCCATCCCCGCTGTCTGTTCCATCGCCTGTGCTCTTCCACTGCTCACACCCGCGTGGGCAGCTTCTTCCCCACCTTCTCTTGCTTTCATGCCCACAAAGCCAAATCTCATCTCACATTTCCCCAAAGATAGACAGATAGAAAGGGTAAGATGAAGATGGCACTCCAGTGCCCAGCTGGAGTTGATTGACATGCTAGTAACATATTGTTAACAACCAATGATTTTCATGATTGCATAGCAAGGAGCTGGGCTCTGTGCAGTTTCACAAGAGAACAATGAACCTAATTCTGGTCAAGATTCTTGTCCACCTCCCTCACTGGTATCTTTGATATTTCTTCATCCCTACCATACTTTTAGGAGAAGCTGACTGCTTTACAAGACAGTGAAGATGGCTGAAGTCAATAGAGTACTACCTTCTTGTTTACTTCTGAACATGTGGCCAACAGGACTAGATTGCTCAAGCCATATAAATCAAAGATGTTTTCCTAAGACACAGGGCAGAAAAGGAAAATCCATCAATTAGTTCTTGGATTAGTTAGCCATGAAGGCCTCTTAGGATTCTTGAAATATTTTTTTCTTATTGTTTAGATTAGGTTAGCTTTTTTTTTCATGTACAACTCAAAGCATGCCAATTAATATATCCTAGCAGTCAAAGAAATTTTTATGTAAGAATATTTTCTCATATAAACAAAAGAGCATTTTAAAAAAAGGAGAGTGGTAGAATACATGCAGTAACAATCTAGAACCTTGCCGGTAGGCCATGAGCCTTGTGGTAAAATATAAAATAATAGAAATGGGTTAATTTAAGAGATAAGAGTGAGCTAGAAATATGCATAAGCTAATAGGCCAAGCAGTGTTGTAATTAATACAGTTTCTGTGTGATTATTTAGGCTCTGGGCAGCCGGAAACAAACAAGCAGCCTCCTTACAACAAGAAGCCAAGTAACAGACACAGTAAGATGCAAACAGGATTCCTTAAAATAGTTCTCAGTAGCAGAAATGTTGTCTCAGAAGGGAGGGCCCTGATGGTAACATGTAAGAGCTACCTCAAGCAGGAGATCTTGAATGTGCTTTAGGGAGATACCTTTGAAAGGACACTGTGACTTACATCCAGTTTCAAGAATTTAGTAGCAAAATAGAAATAAGGCAAACAGAAGTCACCAAATAAATATTTGTTATGGTCAGGACTTGTATATTACAAACAACTCATTCTGAATGATGCTTACTTATCGGAAACTCCAAGGTGAACTGGGGTCTGGGCCAGCTAGATACAGGCTCCATATAATTAAACCTTTTCCTCTTCCCTCCATTCCTGAGAAGTGCAGACCTTTGATTCTGGGGTTGGTCTCCTCCAGTGAGCAGCCTAGCATCAAGATGTGTTCCCCTGCCCCAGGTCCCTGGGCTGAGACTAGAGAAGGGACATTTCTCAAGGAGAATATGGGTTTTGTCTCAGGAAGAACGGAACTCTTCTGGGAAGACACAAATAAGAAACGACAACATCATTGCGATCATTGCATGAATTAGAGCTGACGTTTGCTCTTAGTTACCTGGTATAGGGAAAGGCACATGCTATTCAGAAGTCAGAGAATTTTGAATCCAATGCGAATTTATTTTGACTTTTTAAAAAAAATAATACAACAGTTGAGTTTTGAGAACTGGCTTAAGACTTTAGTCTTTTATCTAATCATTCCCGAAAATGAGTTCCACTTCTAAATGGAAGGGCATTTGCTAAGTCACACGTGTCTAAACGTCAAGTTTAAATTTGAAAGGGTATGAAATTGAACTAGAGACGGTGTGCGTATTTCCCAATCAAAAAGATGGCAGACGTGCAATGACAAAGCAAAACCCCGGAGGGAAAGCATCCATTACAATCCATCAAAGCTGCAATTAAGGAACCTTGGTAGCCTCAGCCGTGTGACTGGGTTCACGCCAGCCTTTGATCGTCTTGGAAAGGCAACTCAGTTAGCGAGCTAACATCACACACAAGAACACAGTGTGGGTCCCATCCTTTCTTTACTTAAACAGTAAAGTGTATCATCCAAGCCTTCCAGTCTCAAACACTGAACTTGCTGAATTATGGGCAAAATTCCCAAAAGGACTTCCCGTAAAGTGGGAGGCCAACTTCGAATTTCCACAGAGCCTTGTTGTAATGTGTACTTAGGGATTTGCCCTTTAAAGAAGCAGCCCCTGCGTGAATTAGAGAGTATCTCATCTCCACTGGCGCAAAGACAAAGACATTAGTTTCTTGTCCCAAAATAACAAAACATTCTTTCTTTCAAATAGCGGTACCTTGAAAACATCGAGGTAATTTATAGATACCCTGTAATTGTGAGACACCATGTTATTCCAAAGGCTGAAGAAAAATTAGCTATTTAAGAGGCGGTTTATCTGAGTCAAAACTATGCATGACTCTGCTAGGAGTTTCCTTGTATCGCATGCAGACCAAATTCCTTTTTAAGTCATCACCTGATGAACCGTGCAGTGTTACAGGCAGTGCACAGAGGCCTGCATGGGAGTCTTGACCAAATGATGACACATCAAAAAAAACAAACAGAAAAAAAAAACCCACTCCTCTCCTCCAAGTCATTCAATATCGCCTTTTTACATCCTATTAATGAGTCAGCATCCATCATCACAATGCACAGCAATATATTACTCAGAGGAAAAAAACCCCAACTATATGAAACTAAAATTGACCATGGATATTTTTCCCTTGTAAGGAAGAAGCATTGTAATTTCATTTCAGCAGAGAAGTAAATCACAACACTGCTTCTTTGAGGAAAGGATGGAGAGAGACCTGGTGTAGAAGCCTTAGTCTTTGGCCATTCACAGGACCTGTGTATGGTGGTGTGCACCTAGAACAACACCCAGGAGGCTGAAGAAGGAAGACCCCAAGCTATATAGCAAGTTCAAGCCTAGCCCAGGTGCCCAGTAAAATCTCATCTCAATTTTCTTTTCAAGAGGGGCTTGATACTGCACTGAGAGATAACGATTGGGCAGAGGGATTATGTCCTGTGCTGTCAACAGTAGGAAGAACTGCTGTTAGGTTTTGTGGAAGCAAACGGAGGCAGAGTAAAAGATCAGTGCCAGTCAGAAGCTAGAACTGATGATGTAGCCAAGGCTCTTCTGGAGCAACTCAGCAAACAGAGTAATCTTCTATCATCTAAGAAGGACAGGCCCCAGGACCCCCTGCAGATGCATGAAATCATAGAGAGAAGCAAACCCCGAATAAAAGCCCTGAGCTACCATGTCTGTGGAGACGATGAGCTGAGGGGCCATTGATAACTGCTGGGAAGGCAATGTATTAAGTGCGGATCTGTTGAGCAAGGAGCTGACTCAGTGTCAGGTGGAGGGAGCAGGATGACAACTTCTGGTCACACAGCATGTGCCATTTAACACTTACAAATTAGTTATTTGTGGAACTTTTTCCACTTACTATTTTTGAAGCATGATTAACCAAGGATGACTGAAACTATAGAAATTAAAACTATAGATAAGGAGGGATTGGTGCATTTAAATTTTCTGCCCCAGAAATATGGGGTGCTACCTTCTAGCCATTCATATTGTTTTGCTACACATAGAAATGCCATTGCAGAATTCTTTGTGTAAATTAAAGAAAGTAGCTTAAGTTCCACATTCAAGGAAATGTGACTGAGAGCCATGGCGATAAGATATCACAGGCCCAAATTCTGTAGAATAAGAACTTGATTCAGGTGTGTAGCCCAAGATTGGCTCTGAAATTTTGGCATGAGACTTGCCTCAGTAATTGTGGATTTGTTTGCTTGTTGTTTTTGTTAGTTTGTTTCTGTGTTTAAGACAGGACCCCAGATAGCCCAGATTTTTCTCAAATTGTTGTGTATCCAAGGATGGACTAGAACTTCTGATCCTCCTGCATCCTCTTTACCGGTGCTGATATTATAGTTATAGGCCACCACATTTGGTTTATGCAATACTATAGATGGAGTTTAGATCTTTCAGCATGCTAGGTCAGTACTCAACCAACTGAGATGCATCCCCAGACTAGATGTCTGTACTATTAGCAGCAATAATTACTGGCACACATTAAAAGATTTGCTACAGTGTGTCCTGCCCTGGACCCAGGGTGTGCGTACTCTCTTACCATCTCTCAAGGCAATTCCATTGGTTCACCACACTCCCTGTTGAGATGGCGATACCAAATAACTTGTCGAGACTTAAGTTAAATGCTGAACAGGGACCCATGGGACAGAAAAGATCATTTATTATCCATGAGTTTGTAGAGCTACCCTTCAGTATCTGTGGGAGATTGGTACCAGTATCTTCACAGATACCAATGCCATGGGTGCTCGAGTCTCTGAGTTCAGATCCACCTGTGTTCCCAACTAATCTAGCCATCTCCACTAGCTTCCAACTCACTATAGCCAGAAAGACCTGGGCCTTCTGATATTCCTGCCTCCAGTTCCTGAGTCCTAAGGTTATAGGCTTGTGCCACCATGCCCAGATTCACAAATTACTGGGATCAAACTCAGGGCTCTGTGCAAGCTGGAGTAAGCACTCTACTAGAAAGCCACACCCCCAGCTCTGAATACCATTTTTTAATTCATTTTTTATTTTATGTGCACTGATGTTTATGGTTATGTCTGCACGACAGCATCAGATCCCCTGAAACAGGAGCTACAGACAGCTGTAGTTGCCATGCAGGTGCTGGGAATTGAACCCAGATCCTCCGGAAGAGCAGCCAGTGTTCTAAATCACTGAGCCATCTCTCCAGCCCCAAATATCACTTTGTAAATCCTCTTACTTACCTTTTCATGTTGGGAGATTTGCTGGCAGGAACAGGCAGCAAGCGTGACAAGAAGAATGAGTGCCACTGAGGAAAGAAAGGGCAAAACATGGTTAGTCCAGACTCTGCCGTCTTCCTCATACCCCGGCCCCTACTCTACAGAACCCATCCCCTTTAAGCCCCAGTGCGCTGAAGCATATCCTTGTCTCCAGTCCATCCTCACTATCTACATCAGGCCCTTGCTACCTTTTGACTGGGTATTTCATCAGCCTTCATAAACATTTTTTAAAAATATTTGTTTATTTATTTATTTATTATGTATACAATATTCTGTCTGTGTCTATGCCTGTAGGTCAGAAGAGGACACCAGACCCCATTACAGATGGTTATGAGCCACCATGTGGTTGCTGGGAATTGAACTCAGGACCTTTGGAAGAGCAGGCAATGCTCTTAACCTCTGAGCCATCTCTCCAGCCCCCCTCCCCTTTTTTTCGAGACAGGGTTTTCTCTGGGTAGCTTTGGAACCTATCCTGGCACTAGCTCTATAGACCAGACTGATGTCAAAATCACAGAGATCCTTTTGTTTCTGCTTCCTGAATGCTGAGGTTTACTTTCTAAGATGTAAACATAATTGTGTCAATGGTCAGTTTCAAGTCTTAGACCATCTTCCCACTCTGCACAAGGTCCAATGTTTAAGCCCCCGAGAACCCTTCACGACTAGTTTTAACTTCTTCGCAAGTCCTTACTCGTACCTTACGGTTCAACTTGACTCTCATGCAACTCTTCAAGTAAGTCACTGTGATGGCTATTCTTGGCTGTCGATTTGACTCTATCTGGAATGAACTATCAACTAAAAATGAAGGGCACGCCTGTGATCTGGATCTCTAGGCAAGAAGACGACAGTATTCCTTTGATCCGGACCTTGATGACACAGGTCATTAATGCAGACCTGGAGGCTGGATGACACACCTTTAATCTGGGCCACACCTTCTACTAGAAGTCTATATAAGGAAGGACAAGGGAAGAAGGAAGGGTTTGTTCTTCACCTGCTTCCTCTGCCTAGTCCGCACATCCAATCCTTCACTGGCACTGGAGCCTACTTCTCTGCCATTCCCACATATACAGAAGCTGTTACCAGGGACTGAGGCATTGCTGGGAGAGGCTGGACCATGTGCTTGTTTGGAGGAATTTGGACTTTGGTACTTTGGTTTATGAAAGTAGGGGGATGCTTTAGGCACTACTTAATGGGTCACACAAGTAGGAGCTTGGAAGACAGATGCTCAGAGTTGTTTGAACTGCCTGGAACTCACTCAAGATGTTTCAGAGGATGTTTTTTAGCATGTTGCCTGGAGATCATTCTTTTGATATTTTGGTGAAGAAAGTGACTGCCTTTTGTCCTCGTCCAAAGAGTCTGCCTGAGGCTAAAGTGAAGAGTTTTGGATTCGCTCCATTGGCAGTGGAAATCTCAAAATAGCCTCGTATAGACTCTGTCGTGCAGATATTAGTGATAACTCTAATGAAGATTTATAATGAAAAGTAGCAAGTTGAGCATGGTAAGTTACAAAAAGTACATTTTGAAGAGAAAAGAAGCAACAGGAAGCAGAATGGGTCTAAACTCTTTGATACCCAGATTGAGAAATGGAATGAAGGGAGTGGTTACCTCAGAGCAAGATCCCACCAAGCTAAATTTCTAGTTTGTGGCAATGAATTAAAGAAAAGTTTAGAGCCCTCATGTAGTGATACTTGCCTTTAACCCCAGCACTGGGAAGGCAGTGGCTGATGGATTTCTGGGTTTGAGGCCAGCTCAGTCTAAAGACCAAGCAGTAAAGGAGAACAGAAAGCTAATGAAGAAGTCATTAAACAAGGAGGCCCTGTTCTAGCACCAGTAAACAGCAGAACTTGGCAGTTTCAGCCACGTAGTTCTGGCTTTAGAGTTAAGGTAGAAGAAATGGGTTATAGAAGTTGCTTCTGCACCTAACAATAGTCACCGAGGCCAGGCATGTGTCAGGGGTGTCCCTGAATGGAGACCTAGTAGAGAGGCCATTGTGTAAAGCTGTGAAGGTGAAGGCTGGATTGCCTTGGAGAACCCAAGATGTTAAGAGATGCCAGAGTTGTAGGATAGCTGTCAAGGAAAGCTACTATCAGGGAGTGGAACCAGCCCCAGAGAAAGAAGTGTGCTGCAGTCAACAGTGCCAATGGAATTGGAGATCTGAAGAGCATTTTGGCATCAGACATAGAGATGCAGAGTTTGGAGTTTGCCCAGCTGGTCTTGGGTATTGCTCTGGTCCAGTATTTCCTCGCTATATTCCCTTCCCTATGTTTTGGAAGGTAATGCAATCCTGTGCCGTTATATGCTGGAGGTATGTGATCTGTTTTCTGATTTTGACTTTTACAGGGGGATTACAGTTAAGAGATTGCCAGGTGTCTCAGAAGAGACTTTATGATATGGGGGCCAAGGAACAGAATGTGGCCCCCAAAGGGAGTGGCACTATTAGAAGGTGACCTTGTTGGAGGAAGTGTGTCACTGTGGGGGTAGACTTTGGGGTCTCTTTTGCTCAAGCTTCCCTCAATGTGACTGTCAGCCGAATTGTTGATGCCTGCAACATGTAACACTCTCAACTCTAACACCATGTCTGCCAACACACAGCTGTGCTCCCTGTCATGATTATAATGGCTGAACCTCTGAAAATGTAAGCAAACCACCGCAACTAAGAGCTTTCGGTATGTGTTGCCTTGGTCGTGGTGTCTCTTCACAGCAATAAAATCCAAACTGAGACGACAGCCACTGTCCTAGCACGGCACCCATGCGTCACCTCCTTGTTTCTCTGATAAGCTTTTGCCTATCTCTTAAGACATTCCTATAGAAACCTATTTCCCACCTGCTCCTATGTGACAGAGTGAATTTAGAGCCTCCTCCCCCCAACCTCAATGACATTGCCCAAGCTCCTCTTAGAGCATTTCCTACAGGCAGTATGATTATTTATTTCTCAGTCATTCCCACCAGACCGTAAACTCCTCAGGGTAGGGACTTTCTCAAATCTGTATCCTGAGCACCCTTAGTACATGTGTCTCCTCAATAAACATCGGAAGACTGATGTATCTATACCAACTTCAAAGCTCCCCATGTTCCCGGGGCTCTGAAAATGACTGCATTAGCAAAAACAGCCTGATGCAATTTTCTGTCTTCTGTTCTCGGCACGGAAATCCTTTCATCCGGATAACTGAAGCTGTAATCATTTCAAAGAGGTGTCACCAGCTAAATGAACCCTTGTGCTTAGGAAACCGGGAGAGTGCAGTGATTAGCAGGCAAACTCCACGCAGACGTGTCCGGGTCACGCTTCTCTGTCTTGGAAGCCGTCCTAAACCTGAGACTCCATCAATCCCAGGCATCGCCGCCTACCATCGTGCACGATAGAACCACAGAACCACGTAACAGTGAAAGCACAAGAGAAAGGGGGAACAGAAAATGAAGCGCTTCTGTCTGAGAAAGTTTCCAAAGGAAAAAAAAAATCCAGCACCCAGGGGCCAATATCTGGCCAAAACATTTGCCTGACCGTGGGCACAAGCCAAAGCGCTGTATTTATAGTGGGCGGCGCGGCACGGAGGAGGTCAGTGAGGGATGTGACTGCTGAAACCGATTCTTTTCTCTGTAGAAGCAAATAAATATTACAGAGTTGCCCAGAAAGATGGAATGAAATATTCTAGCCAAGACTCACCCCCGGGGAAACCATAGTGAACACCAGACTCAGTAAGGAGGCTGGGATCCTCAGACCCAAATTGAGCTGGTTGGCTTTCATCATCAGTGAGATTTATTTTTGTAAAAAAGAATTGGTAGCTCCCTCCCCCCTCCTATTTTGCTTTTCTCTTTAGAGGCACATTTGATTAAGATCTATGAAAACCACCTCCCCCCGCCCCCCAGAGTCTGGGTGAATGCTGCATTTAGAAGGACCTGCAGATAGGAGGTCAATAGTATGCCATCTTTCTCTTTGTTCCAACTCTCGTTATTTTCCTTCTTTCATTTTTGAAACAGGCCCTTGGTTTGAAGCCTGTATATATTCATAGAAATGGAGAACCAAAACGTGCCTCTCTTCTATTTTATCTGAGGCTCAATCTATATGACCTGCAGACAGTGCCCCTAGCACTAACTCTAGCTACCCACGATGGTGACCAACTGATCAAACACCACGGTTTCTTCCACAGCGTGTTTCACTAGTAAGTAGGGTTCCCCACTGCTATTGCTGCCGCTGATGCTCAGAATGAATGATTTCAACATAAACGCTGACTCAGGTATCGTTTTTCTGGGGACATTGGGGTAAGCCAGTCTCCTAAGTTTCTACAACAGATAAGTTTTTTCATAACTAAACACTGTGGTTGGGAATGTGGTTTTAAAAAATATTGCAGCCATATTGCTTATCCTGTTAAAGTTTAAGTTTTTGCTTCTTCTCTGCAATAAATGGTTCATTTTGACAAGTGATTTCGACCCATGAGTCCCCTGGTGTGGATGCAGTTGGGCATCATTGCAAGCTGAGGCCGGTGGCACTGTCCAAAGACTATGTGCACCTTGACAGTCAACCTCAGATCCAACTCGTACAAGAAAGGAGCGTCCTAATGTGCGCAGTGACTTAGTCCTTTCGATGCCACACAACTTTGTTGTTGCTGTTAGGAGAAGTCTTCCTTTCTCTACCACTACTTAAATGTGCAGTTAGGAATGTTCTGCACTTCTCCCGGGAAGTCACTCAAATTCTCAGACACTTAATATCACAATAGCACGTTTTCTCTTAGGCAGTACTTGCCTCCCTCCTCTCTAGGGCAATAATCAAGAATTTCATAGGCTAATAATAATAATAAGCAGTCATGGGGGTATACATGAAATATCATAAACGTATGCCTTTCCGGGTCTCTCCTCTCTTTCCAAGCTTCACCTTACTGACTACCTCCATTCCAGCAAGCCACTTATCCACAAAGAAAGCAACAATGTCTTCCAATTCAGTGCCTATGAAAGCCGGTCTAAATCTTTGGGTCCGGCTGTCCTTAAAGGTAGCACCAATATCGCTTCCAGCAAAAGGAGTATGCAGGGTAAAACTGAAGGTGATGTTAGGGGAGTTTGAGTCCTCATGGAGTGACCAGCTACAGCCATAAGTGCCACTGTGGTGGTACCCTCTCCATAATGCTCCTCATGTGATCGCAGCAGCAGAAACAACGCTGAATCCAGCTGAGCCCATTTGCTCTCAGATGAGCATCACTTCCCAGTTTCCCTGCAGTTAGGCTGGGGCTGCCAGACTCTGCCGGACAGTGGACAGAAGTGACTCACACCTCTGTGAGTCTGGGCTGCTGGGAAGGTCCCATGTCTGATCCACTCGCGCCCTTCTGTGATAACCTGGCAAGCCACCTGCAGATACCGATCACACCAGCCAAGGGCGTGAGCGGGCCCTGAACAACCCAAAAGAGATGACTCCTTCATTGTCCCATTATTGTCACAGCCACCAAGTCACCCTGGGAATGGAGTGAGTGATAGAGCCTGCCCGTTTTAATCCTCTGAGCCTTGGAGGTTGTTATGGCAACTCCCAATTCACTCTTCACGCTGTGTCGGGAAGTACCTCCAAATGGATACTCTCTTTCCTGTATTTTTGGTCATCAAAACCCTACCAGTGTTTGAAGATCCGGCCGAAATCTTTCATTCACAGGCTTTCCAGTGATAACTAGGTCTGATAATGGCCTTTCTCGCCTCCCATGTCCGGAGGTACCTGCTCCATATCCTATTATACTTTAAATGGGCACTGCTCTGCTTTGCGATCTGATTTTTGATGTGTGTGTATTTACTTGTCTAACTAGATTATAAATCCCCCGCAGGAAAAGATTATTATTATTGAGTCCCTGAAGCAATTATCGCCAACCTGCGTAGGCGTCACACCAAGAATGGAAAGTCAGAAGTCAAGCTTCTAAATGTCCTAAAAATATCCTCGTATGACTTTAATGTGGACTAAATATAAGAAGTTGGCCCCCACAGTTCTGGTTCAAAGGTACATCAAGGAATTCTCGGAGGATAAATCTAATTCCTGTATATAAATGAGTTGCTCAGAAACACATTCAATTTGCTTTATTTCCACAAGGACTAATTCATGTTATCATTTCCTCCACATCTCTCAGAAATGCACGATGAACACAATCCCAAATTTGAAAGGAAGAATTGGAGTGTGAGATGGTTTTGAAAACCCCCGATGCTAGATTATCTCCCGTGAACATGTGGATTCCCGCGGAGCTTGAAGGTCCAGTCCCAATTCTTTTTGCATCTACTTTTTAGACAACGGCAATGCTATGTATGTCATTGCAGTGCCGATTTTATTCTTTCTGACCCCGTATGGTAGACAGTGATACCCATCTCCCTTTCCCCTCGTACCATGATGGAAGATGGCCCTGCCGAGGTTTCTCTTTCAGAGAGCCTCTAGCTAACTGTTACATACTTGTTACTTAATTCGTAATTGAGCAAATGGGTTTGAATAAGCTGCTTTAATGTAAAGATAAGAACCATCAGATCTCAGAGTAAGCCCAGAATCTAAGCTCTTTCTATAATCCTCTTCAAAGATGCTGGAAACCGTGTGAATAAATATTCACTGAAAAAGTTGCTCCTGCAAGGATCCGGCTTCACACGCCAGCACTGATGAACGCCCCTGTTCGTTCAGAAGACCTTTGTGCAGAGAACTGGCTTTTCTGTTCAGTCAATGCATTTTCATTTTGAGCCAGAAAAAAAAAAATACTTCCGTAATTGTTGAGCTTATGCCCCCCAATCTGCAGTTTCTTCTCCATTGAAGCCATTTGTATGGAGATCAGTCCCTGTTGATTCTAACAGTGGCTTTAACAATCACAGCATATTCAGTCTTGTCCCTTCCAAGTCCCTGGTACAATGTATAATGATGAAGAGTAAATTTTCCAGCCTTTCGAGAACAACTTGAAGTGATATCACAACATAGGATGGGTCTCCGAGAAGACAGGAAACATTTCCGGGACTGCCTGGTTTTCTTGTATTTTGGGCACTAGTCCATACTTTAACTTCTGGTTGACAAGAATGGAGGGCAGAACAGGACACAAATATTCTACCTCACACATCCCCACCTCTGAAAATTGTATTGCGAGAATTACCTTTCGATGTGTGGTTAGAGTTGATTCAAAATAGCCACCCCTGAGGAGTTTCAGCGGAAGTTTTCAAGCTGTGTTTCTCAAAGCCTTGTATATGGTGTGGTTAGGTCTGCCACAGCTACCAAACGTGTACCAGAACGTGGGACCCAACCCCTACCCCTTTTAACACAGTAGCTGTTATTTCCCATCTTTAAAAAATGTCTACAGAAAATTTATATCTAAAAAAAATGGATTCTGCTAAGAGGAAAGGGATGGAAGAAAGAAAAAGAGAGAAAAGAAAGAAAGGGGAAATGCCAACAGTAGCAGGGACCTGCCTTCATGATGTCCTCTTCAAGCCCCAGAAGAGCATGGTCAACTTCATCTTCCCAGGGCCCACTGTTCTCCTCTAGGTCTTTCAATTAGGAGTTGATGGACAGTGATCAGAAGCTGGAGTTTTATTAGTTTCATCTATGGCCCCATGTCTGTTGGGGATTTGCTTGATTTTCCTGAGCTGCCATCTGCTTGCCCATTGCCAAGTCTGGTTGGTTCTCAAGCCCCCTTTCAGTACAGTGAGCCCTATCAGCCACTTGTGCAATGCATCCTGGGCCTGTGTGTTTTCACTTTTCTTGCCTTGCTCTCTTTTCTGGACCAAACACTAGACCGCCCTGTGGCAACTGTGTACTGTCCCTTGAGAAACACATCTCTCTTTCTAAGGGCTTTCTGTGCTCACCCCCTCCCCTTTCTAGTTTCTGTGGTTGCTGGTCTCCAAAGCGCCCGACTCTCCATGGAGGGTCACTGCAGTAATGGCATGGAGCACGGAGAGCTAGAGGAGCTGTCAGAAAAGTGAGTGCTCAGAGAGTTAGCGACAGGGACAACAGGGAGAGGCACCGAATCCAAAAACACAGAGACTTAGGTCAAGCTGAGGCACGAAGACTTAGGCAGGAAACTGAGAAAATCATGCTGAGACAATATGTTTGGTAGAACAGGGACAACTTTGATGAGTGTACCCATAGCATCCCTAAGTAAAACACTACGGATTTCTGTTCAGATTTTACTAGGCCTTTATCAACACATCTTATTATTTTATGAACCCAGTAAGGACAATACGGCCCTTCTCAGTGAGTTATGTTAGTAATAACACCTCTTGTTTGTCAAGTACTTGCTGTGTACCAGGCTCTCTGGTAAAGTGCTTTAGATATAAGGGCAACTGAGACCAAGCAGGGTTAAATAACTGCCCAAGATTACTTAGTAAGTAAATGGGGAAGCAGAGATTTAAAGTCATGTTTGTCAACTCAGGTTCTCCCCACTGGGCATTTTAGCCGAATGCCGTTATATTAGATGTGCCCTGGGACATACAGACCACTGTATTTCCATCCCAACTGTCTTTTTTTTAAAATTTATTTATTTAACTTTATTATGTTTGTTGGTGTGAAGGTGTCAGATCTCATGGAACTGCATTTTCAGACAGTTGTGAGCTGCCATGTGGGTGCTGGGAATCGAACCTGGGTCCTCTGGAAGAGCAGTCAGTGCTCTTAACCGCTGAGCCATCTCTCCAGCCCCCATCCCAACTGTCTTAGTTTGGTTTCTCTTGCTGTGATGAAACACTACGACCAACACCAACTTGGAGAGGAAAGGGTTTACCACCTCTCAGATCACACTCTATTGCTGAAGGAAGTCAGGGCAGGAATTCAAGGCAAGAACCTGGAAGCAGGAGCTAGAGCAAAGGCTATGGAGGGTGCTGCTTACTGGCTTCTTTCTCTGTCTTGCTTAGCCTGTTTTGTAATTTTTTTCTTATACAATTCAGTACCACCTGCCTCTGTTTGGCACCACCACAGTGGGCTGTGCCCTCTCATACCAACCACTAATTAAAGAAAAGGAGGAAGAAAGAAAGGAAGGAAGGGAGGGAGGGAGGGAGGGAGGGAGGAAAGAAGGAAGGAAGGAAGGAAGGAAGGAAGAGAAAATGTCCAGGAGACTTGTCTATAGGCCAGACTCATAGAGGCATTTTCTCAGATGAGAGTCCCCTTTCCCAAAGGACTATAACTTGTGTCAAGTTGCCATAAACACGAACTAGGATAATTCATCCCTGTTCAGCTTGGCACACAAACATGTTATCATTAAACCATAATCTTCCACTCCTGTTTATCTCCAGGTATTAATATATCTTGATCTAAAACACATTCCAACGTTTAAAGATTTTACAGTCTTTAAAACTCAAGCGCTTTAAAGCATTCAGTCCCTTTAAAACATCAAATGTCTCCTTTACAGATCAAATCCCTCTAAAATATCTAAAGTCTCTCCAAAATTCCAAAGTCTCATGAATTCCTATTCTTCCTGTAGAATAAAAAAACTGAGTTATATACTTTCTCACTCCAAGATGGAAGCATCAGGGCAGAGTTACAATAATATCAAATATAACAATAGTCAACAGTGTAAAAAATTTCAGTGCTTTATGTCAGACCCATTCATAACCCTTTGAGGCTCCAAAGAGCTGGCAGCTTCCTTTCTCCAGCTCTGCCACCTGAAGAACACACAACTTGTCTCCTAGGCTCAGGCTTTTCCCTCCTACAGCTGCTATTGTCCTTGCGGTCATCAAAGGTACTGGCATCTCCAAACTACTGGGGTCTCCATTGCAACTGGGCTCTCCTTAGGGATTCTAACCTTGTCACATGTTGCCAAGGTAGCTTCAACTTCTCTCCATGTCGCCTTCAATCCTGGGTTGTCTATTGCAACTGGAGCTGCACCTTCACCGTTGGCCTCTCTCACTGCAAAATCTCAGCTGTTTTCTATGACCCCTTTATGCTTTCAAAACCAGCACTACCTGGGAATGGCTTAAATGTTCCCAAATTTGGCTGCCAGTGAAAGGTAGAGCCTTGGCCCTCTCTGGACCACAGATTCTGTGTCAGGGCAGAAACTCAAACAGTCACATCACACTCACAGTCAAGGGTATAGAGTGCACACACTACCCAATGCCATCGGGGATGGGGCATACGTAGAAGCCCTAACCCAGCCTGGGCCACGTGGCTTTCGCCCACACAAAGCACCACACAGCACAGGTGGCTGTGCTGCTTAGATTCATAGGAGCAGCTTTCTTTTGAATTATAAAATAAAAGAATAACAGAAGTAACATTTCCCCCCAAATCAAACATTTCTTACCAGTTCCTCCTTCCTCCAACTCTACCCTGCATCTTCCTTGCTCCACCTCCCTGCACGCATGACAGATGGTGGTATGACCCCGGTTACCAAGCTGCTACTGCAGCATTGGGGCTTTTGGTTTATCTACACCAGCCATAAATCCCTCCTCAGGCTTCACCGTGGTTTGCTTTTTTTATGCTGCAGAAAGGTCATGGACGTGCGTATCATGCTTCCTATAAATAGTATCCACACATTCCAACTCTAGAATGAGCACATTCCCCTAAGCAGAGACTGTGGACAAGTGACCCTGTTGTCATTGCTGCAGATCATGGGTGCTAATCCAAGCAGAGCAGTCCTTATGCCATTGTAACTTGACCTTGGTTGTTTTGGGACTTGCTACGAAGGTCTCCATATTGTTTAAAGTCTATCATGGCTGATGCTCAGGTCAACATGGTCTTCAGTATGGACTATGCAGCCAAAGCTGAAATCCTGCTAAGTTAGAAGGACCAAGATGTAGCCAAATAGTCCGCCAATCAAGAGCCAGAAGCATATGAAAGCTAAATATCACCGATCCAGAATTTCCCCAAGTTCAGGACACAGTCAGCTAAGTCCAAGAACTTATGAAATAGTGACCATCACAAAAGCTTTGAGTGTGATTGTTCCATCCCATCTACCAATGACCCTGGTAATGAAATGTCAACAAGACCCTTGGTCACATCAAATCCACCACTGTGGTATAGCCACTACCTCTCAGTGTTCTTCAGTTTATAAAACGTGACATTACATCCTCTTCACCATGGATCCCTGGGGCAGCCCTGTGGGGAAGAATTCTTCTCCCATCACATTGTGTGGTGAGCCCAAAGAGGAGCTGCAGAGCCCAGACCCCAGCTTCATGCTCTTTCCATTTTAATCAGAAGGTCTTTTTTTCTTTAGAACTGCCCTGAAGGATGCTGGATAGGGGGAGACAACTGGGCATCTTCTAAGTCGTTCATTGCTGTAGAGAGCAGAGAGTTTGTTTGTTTAATCTCCAAGCCTCGGTTTCTTTTCTGTGCTACTCAGGGTTTCCACCATGACCAGAGAGGAAAGGGTTTATTTTATCCTATACATCAGGACAGGAATTCAATCATGACAGGAACCTGGAGGCAGGAACTGAAGCAGAAGCCATCGAGGGGTGCTCCTTACTACTGTCTTGATCTTTGTGGCTTGCTTAGCCTGCCTTATAACACCTAAGACCACCATCCCAGGGGTGGCACTACCCACAAGGAGCTGGGCCTTCCGACATCAATTATTAACCAAGAAAACACACCACAGGCTTGCCTACAGGTTAATCTGGTGGGGACATTTGCTTACTTGAAGCTCCCTCTTCCTAAATGATTCTAGCTTGTATCAGGTTGACCTAAAACTAACCAGCACAGGCCAGGAGTCTTTCTTTGTCCCAGCTACATTTTCTGTACATAAGGAAAATAGAAAATCTGCATGAAAGTGAAAGTGTCTCCTCTTTTCCTTTCTCATTTCTTTCTCTCACCATTTCTTTAATCCCATGGCCTTGGTGAATTATTTACCGCAGTTCCTGTCTGCACTTTCACCAGTGGCTAAATGAGAAAAACGGTGATGTTTCTTTAGGACAATCTGTATCTGCAAGTCTTAGGACAGCATGGCCAGGTCCACACTGGTCTTGTGACGAGATGATTGGTATTTCTTTGCTTTAATTTTACATTCCTTGGTTTCTGTTTCTGCTGAGAATAGAGGCGCTGATATGTTGTGTATGAACCTACAACAACAGAAAGTTCGGTCGTCGTGACAGAGGGCTTTCTTGGAGACCCGAGGTTCTTAAAGTGACAACACTGTGCTTTTAGCCAGGTTCTTATCTGGACAGATGCTGGGCAATCAGTCCTCAGGTCTCCCCCAAGACCTGACCATTCAGAAGCTCTGGGGAGGTCCGAAACGTTGTGTTTCCCGAGGTATCCCTGAATCACATTAGAGTTTCAGAACCACCAACTTAAATTTTTGCCTTGCTAGGACCCACAGTCCCCCTACACAGGTACACTTAAACTTCTTCAAAAGGCTCTGTGGGAGGTGAATCACTGAAACTTTAGATGGGGCAGGGAGGCCCTGCTGAAAGTAGAAATAGTGATTACTGGCACTGTAACACTCCATTGCCTTTCCTATGCTCCTACCTTGGACAGCTACTGGAAATCCCTGGTCTGTTTTAAGGCCGTACCCATACTGTACCTACCAATTTACAATGTTTACAAATAACGAACTTTATATCAACCTGAAAATGCTTGTGGCCATCAAATAAGGTTCAAGTTTGTTTGAGCCCCATCAAGGCTGTGTCTGCAATTGTCCCATTGAGCTTTTTATTCCTCAGAGCATCCAATTTAGTCTTGGATCTTAACGGATCTTAATTAAGCCTATTGGTTCGTCCCACTAAATATTTCTTCACAGTGCCAACTGCTCTTAAAGATGGTTGTGTAAGAGGTAACTTTGATTACTCTGAGGAACAGTGTCCCTACACAACCCCAGGAGCTAGATCTGGTCCCGTACCGTTCTGAGAAACACGAGCATTTACAGGCAGTGCAGTCCAGAAGGCTGGAGTCATTGTAACACACTATACAGAGATACTGCTATGGTGAGAATTTGGCTTGGGCTACTGAATGCCTATGTGATTTCAATGAAGCTGCTTACCCCCACAAAAGCCTCAGTGTCTTCATCTACAGAACAGTGGTGTTATTTCTGAATTAAGAACCTGGAAGAGAACCCTCTCTGTTTGTAAGGTAGATTAGTTCTTCCCCTCACCCAAATTGTTGACCTTTGAGGGGAGCGGTTTCCTTCCTCATTTGACATGGGAGAAAATGTCACTTTGCTGTGTGACAGATTTGGGGGTGAGTCCTAAATGTTAACAGTTTCTATATGGATAATTTAGGCTCTTGAAGACTTAGATCCCTTGTCTAGAAAATGGGATAATCACAGTACTTGTGTTGAAGAGTTGAAGATGAAACGCTCCCTGGCCTCACAATTATTGTTGTTAAAACTATAGTAGCCTATCTCAAGCTTGGCTGTCTCACTTCTGGGTTGGAATAGTTTTGATTTTTGAAACACAGTCAATGATCTACTACTACTACTAATAATAATAATACAAAATCCCATCTTTTACCACTGAGAGGGAAAATCTACGTGTTGGAACCAGAAGAGCTTATTTCTTTTGTTGGAAATCTTTCATTGACAACAATTCTCACAAATTTGTTCTGAGAATAGCAATGTGTGAATGAATGTGATTAAGACGAGCCAGGTTCCTTCTTCAGATCAGGAAGGGCTCAGGGATTGTATAGCTGAGGAGACTTTGATGGAAGAACCAGCTAACAGAGCAGAGCCTGAGGAAAGAGCCTAAGGGAGCCTACCCTCTACCCTCCAGCCTGAGAGGCTGTCCAAGGACCTGGAGAGAGAGTTTGCTGCAGCGTCTGTGTATCCGCCACTCCTGCATGCTGTCTGTCTGTAATGCCTCCTTCTGCTCTCACTGACACCGAAGCATTCATAGTGGCTGGGCTGCCCCAACAAAGTACCACAGACTTGTGATTTAAGACAACAAAAGTTTATTCTTCCATAATTCTGGAGATGAGACATATAATTGAAGTTGTCTTTTGAGCTGTGCTCCCTCTTGAAAGTGATCAGAAAGATCTGGCGGTTTATCCAGGACTTGGATTATTTGCTGGGAATCTCTGACAAATCTGTGTCTTTCAGCCTCACATAGATTTCTAGTGCCTATGCCTTCACACAGGCGTCTTAGGATTGGGATCGCCCAGAACCTTATCTGCAATGATCCTAATGTTCCATTTTGATGTCCTAGATATTAGAGCACTGACATTTATTTTTTAAAGGGACAGAGTGGACTCTGTAACAGCCAACTTCCAGCACACATACAGGAGAGGAACAAGCAGAGAATCACTTTTATCCTGTCCTCTTGGCTCACACTCTTCAGCAACTAATCTGTGACCATTATCCGAAGCTTTATTTTACTTTCCATCGAAGTATAAGACACACACACAGAGAAGTCCATGGACAATGAGTTCACAGATGAAGCAGTTCCACAAGCTTGGCATGTCCTGTCACAGCCTTTGTACCTGGACATAACATAGGTAGCACCTCCAAAGCCCCATGACCTCCCTGCCCACTGTCACCTCCACACCCAGCCCAGGGGAAATCCTCTCTGGTCACATCATCCGTTCACGCTACCAGTTTGTCAACATGGCTCACAAGTGAAGTGATGCCAAGTGTTCTTCTGTGTTGTGTGTTTGTAGTCTGTGTGTTTTCAGTCTTGGTGTTTTTGTAGTCTGTGTGTTTTCAGCCTCTGTGCGTTTGTAGTCTGTACGTGTTTGTAGTCTGTGTGTTTGTAGTCTGTGTGTTTGTAGTCTGTGTGTGTTTGTAGTCAGTGTTTGTAGTCTGTGTATGTAGTGTGTGTGCGTTTGTAGTCTGTGTGTGTTTGTATTCTGTGTGTGTTTGTAGTCTGTGTTTGTATTCTGTGTGTGTTTGTAGTCTGTGTGTGTGTGTAGTCTGTGTTTGTATTCTGTGTGTGTTTGTAGTCTGTGTGTGTTTGTATTCTGTGTGTGT